GAAGAAGGGTCGGTACTTTTTGTTCTTTTGTCAGCGCGATCATTATATCCTGCCCTTAATTTTTTTGTCTCCTTTTTTTTTTCCTCCTCCTCCTCCTTCTCCTCTTCTTCTTCTTCTTCTTTTTCCTTTTTATTTTCCTTCTTTATTTATTTTTTTTTTTTCTTCATAACCGTGTCCCGCTCGTGGAACGCGCGTGGGCGTTGTGTATATAGGAAAGAAAAATAAAAGGATTGGAAATAGACGAATGATGGTACTTTATTTAGTAAGTACAAACGAAGCACGTTTCAAATGATGATGATGATGATGATGTTGATGATGATGATGATGATGATGATGATGAATTTGGTGGACTGCCGCGTGCTGCACGTTGTTGTTGCCCTTTCGAAAATCCGTTATTAGCATTGCAGAACGGCAATATGACGTTTCGTGATGCTGACAAACACGACGTCGTCTTTTCTCTCTCTCTCTCTCTCTCTCTCTTTCTCTTTCTCTTTATTTCGTTCTTTCTGTGTTCATCTACCTTGTTCTTTCTTTTTATTCACTCACTCATTTTACTCGATGATCTTCTTCTATCCTTTACTATTACTCGCGACGTCATACAACACACGTTCCGTATATTATTCGATGGATGGGCATGACACGCGCCGGCACGTTCCCATTCACCTACGTTCGAATATTATTGTCTATTTATCTCTTTCTCTCTTTCTTTCCTTCTTTCTTTCTTTCTTTCTATTCCACGCCTTGTAAAAGGTAGTAGTTGTTGTACTAGGTAGTACTAAGTATTTCTATCAATTTAGTAGGGCTGGAATAGTTTGTTAGAAAATTCTTAATCTCGTCTAGTTATTGTTAGTATATACTCATAAAATCATTTATTCGACTTTTATCTATTAATGTCTACGATTCATCTTTGAAAAAATAATCATCTTTGAAATTTTTTTGTTCTTTATCCATACAAGTATAATAAACAATTTTCTTATGGGTATTTGTGTGTTTATTTTAAATATAATATTACGAAATTATTGGATTTATTTTTTATCGGTATTTTCATAAGTTTCAATTTATTGTATAATAAATTGTATAATATAATAAGTATCAATTTATTATATAATAAAAACAAAACCCTTAAATTTGTTCTAAATCCGTACAAGTACATCTAACTAATGACCAATTTTCTTATGGGTATTTGTGTGTTTATTCTAAATATAATATTACGAAATTATTGGATTTATTTTTTATTGGTATTTTCATAAGTTTTAATTTACTGCTTTTTTATATAACTTTTATTAATAAAAAAAACCCTTAAATTTGTAATCCGTACAAGTACATCTAACTAATGACCAATTTTCTTATGGATATTTGTTTATTCATTTAAAATATAATATTACGAAATTATTCGATTTATTTTTTATCGGTATTTTCATAAGTTTCAATTTATTGCTTTTTTATATATAAATTTTATTATATATATATATAATAAAAAAAACCCTTAAATTTGTAATCCGTACAAGTATATCTAACTAATGACCAATTTTTTTTATAGGTATTTATTTGTTCGTTTAAAAAATTACGAGATGATTTGATTTTTGTTGTTGTTGATATGTTTCAGGTTATCATAGTGGACATCAATCAAGATTGGGTGGATATAACACCGCTAGCTCAAGTGGATCCTCTTCGTTATCGTCAGGACCATGGGCTAGTGGTTATGGTCCAGCACCGCATTATCTTCAACACCGAGAATATCGGCAACAACAAAGACATCCTTACATGCATCAGCAACAACATCAAAGTCGTAATGGTAACAATTATCAATCATCTCAAAGTAATTATCACGGATATCAACAAAGGGTAAGTAATTATTCATTATTTTCATGATTTTACAACAAATACTCTTCTTGAATTATTTTATTCAATTATTCATTAATATTCATTTTAATAACAATTTAATAATTAATTTTTATTTATCATTCAATTTCATATTCATGTATTTACATATTTTATTCATCAAGATCATTATTATTATTATAATTATTATTATTATTTAATAATTTGATTGATTAATTTAAATAAAAAATCAAATGTCAATTATTTAACATATTACCAATTGTATTTTCATATATTCATATTTTACATACGAACACATCATATGTTATCTTATCATCTGTTATTATTAATATCATAGGTTATCAATTCGTTATCAATACGTTATCATTATCAATTATCATACGTTATTTTTAATAATTTTTAATTATAATAAATAATTCTTTATACTTTTTATTATTATTATTATAGACAAATAACATTTATAGAATTCAAACGCGTATGATGTGTGACTTTTTGTGTTCTCGCGTTATACATATATGTATATAAAGTTATATGTGGTACAACAAATGTAATAATTTTTATTATTTTAGAATGGCAACTCGGATCGATATGGCGGTAATAGCGGAGGAAATAGCGGATGGAGACGATAAATGAATTTATTTTTGTTTGTTTCTTTTCTTCTTTTTTTTTTTTTTCTTTTTTCTTTTTCCTCTATAACGTATGCTACTAATATTCTTTAATATTTTATTTGATGTAATTTTCAGTCAGCATAATAGGATTACAAGTGGAAAATTGAATTAATATTGACAATTAATTAAACGGAACGTATGTTTATTGTTATTATTATTATGATTATTATTATTATTATTAGCATTATTAGCGATTGACGTGAATAATTATAAATGATAATTTGTCTTAAAATATGAATAATCAAGAGTATAATTTTTGATTTCGAAACAAAACAAAAAAATAATGATAAATAATAACGTATCTGTGTTCACACAATTAACGTTTTAACGCCATAGTAGCATTTTCATGTAGTTTTTATCCATTAAACAAACTTGCGTCAACCAGATTTAAAGTACATATAATTTTCGTATGTACTTGCGTAGATTAGAATTAAAAAAAAAAAAAAAAAGAGAAAAAAAAAACAGATGATAATAATAATATTAAAATAAAAACAGTATCACACACACAATCCGTTTCATTAGCAATTATTATTTGTTACGAATAATTATGAGTTTCTTTTTGTCTATTTTATTATTTATGTCGACACTTGAGGCAATTTATTGAGGGAACAAAAAAGGGTTATTTGTAAAAGAAAAAAAATAAAAAAAAAGAAAAAAAAAGATTTTATATACACATTTTATACAGTAGAGATTCCCCATATAACGCGTTTTCTCGTTAATTATGTTAATATCATTAAATATGAATATTAATTGAACATTATTATATTTGGGTCTTATTATTCATCGTTATACAAATTTGTTCAATTTTGTAATTGGTTTTTATTTATATTAATCCTTTTCGGACTTGTGTTCATTTTCAGCCATCAAACAAGAAACCGTGCTAATCTTAAATATATATATGTAATACATATTTTATATTTTTTTTTTATAATATATTAAAATTTTGTTCTTTTAATATAATTTTTATTATATAAATAATAAAAATTATAACATAATAATTATATAGAAGAAGTAGTTTATTTTTCAGGTATACCCCTTTAGGGTGTTTACCCCGAAGGCCCCCCTTACATGTTCGTTCCCCTTGACAATATACTTAATTCTAACTATGCCCTAATCATAATAATTATATATATAATAATTATATAATTATTGTATTATTATTTTTAATATATATAATTATTATAATTATTATTAATAATACATATAATATATTATATATATATATATAAAAATTAATTCCGACAGTTACGACACCCATGTCCAAATTGAATACGTCCGAAAAGGATTAATTTTGTATTTTTATTTTTATTATATATATATATATATATTAAAGGGAAGAATTTTCTTTCAAATTATATTTCATTTCTATACTTTCTATACTTTCCTGTATTATAATCGTAAATTGTTTCGAAAAAAGAAATAAAAAAAATAAAAAAAAAACTAAAAAAAAAAAAACAATCATGTTTTAGGATACAAATATTTGCATCACATGATTTCTTATAACCCATAACGTACTTATCGCATTATAAGGGGAACCTAATGTATAAAATTAAAATATATAAAATCCAAATATATATACATATATATATATATATATTTGTTGATAATTCATAAGAGAATGATATGTTTAGTATATATATATAAGAAAAGCTTTCGAAACGAATCTAATCTGGATGTTGTTGTTAAATTCAAACATTATATATTATTTTGTTCTTTTTTTAAATTCACATATTAAAATGCATATGTGTTAGGCTTGCCGATGATTTTTATACGCATTACATATACTTATTATTATTATTATTATATCCAATTAGCGTTTTCACATACTTCTATTTATTTTTAATAATATCTGTTGATGAAAGAAAAAAAAAAAAAGAAGAAGTTATCTAGATAAAGGTTCGTTTTTGTTTGCTACGTATTTTTCCTGACATATTTTTCTTTATTTAACACTAGAACTATATCAACAATTATTATATAAATTAATTAGTGTATTATCAGATTAAATCAAAATGACTGGTTTTGCGATGAAAAACATTTCAGAATAATGAATAAATCTTTATTCATAATTTGGTTTTTTCTATTTTTTGTTTTTTTTTTTCTATCTTTTATTTCTAATGAATTCAATGTGTCAATTTGATATAAAAAAAAAAAAACTAAATAAAAAATATATACATATTATACATATATGTAGATTTATTATAAGAAATGATTATAAACATATAACAAAGATTGGTTTTATCTTGAAATCAGTCATTTTGATGATAGATATTAATAATAGTTCTAGTGTTATAAAATATTAAATATATTATATATTAATAATATTAATCTAATTTGCATAATATTCTTGAATAAGATAGTATGTATTTACAGTTTATTATTATACAAAATATTTTGTTTAAACACATGGAAGATTTTTCCCTCGAGTATCATGTTAAACATTCTAAGTAAGCGTTTTGCTTTTCTTCTTTTTTTTTTTTTTTTTTTTTTTTT